CAGTTGCTTGCATATGCCCTGGCAGTGAGTTGTGGGTCTCTGGGGGAGAAGCTGTTGCTGCTGCTGCTGCTGCACTCTGCGGACCCAGCTCCTCTATAAACACCACCTTCGCTAGCGTCCCCCCCATATCCACAGCACAGCGAACCGTCGGCGAGGCCTCCTGGAGAAGAGAAAAGAGAAAAGCAGCGCCAGGGCTTAGAGGCTTTCTAGGCAGCAGCATAAACATATATTCACCTGAATGACAGCCGCAGCGACGACGATGTCGCCGGCAACCACTACTACTACTGCTGCTGCTGCTGCTGCTACTGCTGCTGCTGCTGCTGTGGTGGTGATGATGATGGTGGTGATGGTGGTGATGGTGGTGGTGGTGGCTGGGGGAGGGTCCTTCACAAACAGGGGAAACGCCGCAGCAGTGTCGACGCTGCCATCGTGCTCCGCGGCAGCAGACCTCTGGTGCTGCTACCGCTGCCTCTGGTGGGGGAGATGCAACCAGCTGCTGCTCCATCGCCTGCTGCTGCTGCTGCTGCTGCTGCTGCTGCTGCTCAGGGCTGCTGGAGCTTCGAAAGCAAACCTCCTTGCAGCTCGGCTGAGGCTTCTTGATGCTATCCGTGCTTGGAAGAACGCTGCTCGCGTATGCTGCTGCCGTTGCTGCTGCTGCTGCTGCTGGGGGTTCTGTTGCTGCTGCTGCTGGTGGTGCTTCTCCCGCTACCGCTGGGTGTGCCGCTGCTGTCGCTGCATGTTTTGCGGCAGTTGAGGGCAATGTGGAGCCTTCGTCTACAGCGGGTCCATCGACAGACGCCTGAATGGCTTCATGGGGGTCCATTGTCTGCAAGGTTGCTGCTGCTGCTGCAGCTGCTGCTGTTGCTGCCGTTGTTGCGATCCCCCTGGTGTCTAGGGTTTTCGCGCGCCGCTGTGATTCTTGCTGTTGCTGCAGCTGCTGCAGCAGGTGGCTGTACGCAGCGTGTGAGACGAGCAACCGCTCGAGAGGAGAAGACGAGCTGCGCCGCCTGGCAATGGCATGGGCCCCCCTGTCTGTCTGTCTGCTGCACGTTACGGGGAGAAAAAGAGCATCATTGTGCTGCTATTTCTGAGGTAATACTCTCATAATATATATTTGGAGCAAGTTCCAGTATGTCAGGGGCCGAAGGGCGCCTACAAGGTCGCCCGTGCAGCCGAAGAGCCGCAGCAGCAGACCCCTCTCTTCTCTACGCCCCCTTCTATTTTCTTCTGTCAATTTGCCTTGGTGGGAGAAAAAGTCTCAATCATATGCCTCTAAAAACTGTAGGCGAAGGGGGTCACTGCTGCTGCCTTTTCTGCTGCCTTTGCTGCTGCTGCTGCTGCTGCTGCTGCAGCTCCCGCAGCCGCATGCAGCAGCATAGTAGAGAGCGCCGGGCTGTGGGAATCTTTAGAGGATTGAATCGATTAGATATCCCTTTGCCCTGTATATATATCACTCCATAATCTGCGTGAGTGTGGCGCCTGGCAGCCCGAAACTTAATGGCATCCCACGCCGAAGAAGGGTTCTATGGTGTGGTTGTTGGCTCTCAAGAGTATCGTTCATATTTTTGTATCCATTGTAAACCAATGGTGTATTACTGCACACGAATNGCTTTCCTCCTCGGGGTGATATCATATGTTGTATGGATGATCGGCTTGGGTTCAGTATGGACCGGTAAGAAGTGTTTCAATACTAAGCAGCATGGAACTTACTTACAAAAACTACTAAGACCAAGGTTTCTTGATACCACGTTGCATCTGTGCTAGGTATTGGCGTTTCTCTCTCTTTCAGCTCACTGCGAAATTCAGCCTTTGGCAAAGGCGAGTGTGTATGCAAGGTTCCTGCACAGTATATTGATGAGGCTTGAGAATAGCAAATAACATACGTACAGACTGGCGGGATTGGTTTCCTTACAATTTCTACCGCTCCAGCTACCGCGTAACTGCGACAGTTGCACGCGGCAACTGATGGTAAACACCGGTATGAGTATTCTCAGTGGCAAGGGCCTTTTCTGTTAACATAACCACTTCCCGTTTATATTCCCATCGCCTCAGGTCTGAAGGTGTTTGTGGATGCATTTCACCAGGGGTAGGGGTTGGCGGTCTCTACTCGCGATCAGCCACCTTGCAGTTACCCCATCGATGCACCGATTTTGCATATTCAAACTCTAGGGTGTATCAACGGTATGAAGGGGTGCTTACAATCAAAGAAGGGAAACACGATATGCCAGTTCCAGAGCCCTATCTCAGAAGGGAGAAACTCTGTCGGGAAACAACCCATCTACAACGCCTATGGATATTGAAGCTGGAAGTGGTGGCAATACTCAGTAACAGGTAAGAAATTGTATCCAAGAACAGCTCGCCAGTTCGGCATTCAGGGAACTGGGTGGATGTAGCGAGAGGCTGATCTGCTCTTTCTGCAATGCATGTCACATAGTTCGAGCGTGGAGAAGCATGATGATAGGTGAAGAACTGGGAAAGCAATACTTCGAGCAACGCAGCCAGGGGGAACAAGCAAAGCGATCCGGAAAATCCCGTGAGCTCCTCGCAACGTGCAACCACGTGACAAGGCCGACAGATGTGACAGCCCCACCTGTAGATCTGTGTTGACCCAATCATAGGGAAGCCGTGGGTAACTTGGGGGAATGAGAGCATAAGGTGTACAGAAGACGTTATTGAGGCAGGGATGCCGCGAATCACTGCGAGAATGGACCTCTTTGCTCCCTCATCGGCATGCTCATACCCTGCATTAGGAGGTGTGGAAGAGACGTCCCAAGGAAAAAAAGCAGTTTGGCTCTCATACAGCGCAGAGGCACTGCAGAAAACGAAAGAGAAGTGCATGCACTCCGTGGTGATGATCTTACGAAAACTTGTGTTTCTGGTTATTCGATCCAATTAGTACCCGAGGAGCAATAGGAATGGGCAGCATTGAAGGAAGAGTTTTCAGATGTATTGAAAAGCAAGGAGCTGCAGGCGGATGGCCACAAGCTGAAACCCCAATGCACCACATCAAACTAACTCCTGTTACTGTACCATGCTCTATTCCAAGGTACAAGCGACATTCGCATCTCATGTAAGAAATAGGTGGGCAAGCACGCAGACGAACTGCTGATAGAAGGCAAAGTTCAACCGCAAACTGGCGCGCTTCTGGACCCCCCGGTACGGGCGAATACAAGAACGGGAGATGTCGAGTGCGTCTCGAATTCAAACCCCTGAGCTAAATAACGCTGAACGAGAAGTTTCCGGTGCCCCGGAAATGACAAACGATGAAGCAAAAATTCCCGATGCACCAATTGGACAAGCTGCTTGACCGCAAGCGGGGTTCACCAATCTATTCATCTTCTGACATCTGACACGATTTTGCAGCTCACAACTCATCCAAAGGACAAGGAGAGGATGGTATTTCATACACGCACTCGCGAACTCAGTACACATGTATGCACCTGCCAAGCCGCATTGACAGTTCAACCACGATATTTTTGGCCTCACAATGATGGATGGATGGTTATATACATAGCTGGCATGCTTGATTCAGCGTGAGTGTGTAGTGGCACTCGTAGCACCTATCGCGTGCATTCAAGTTGCTGCGTGCATAGATCAGCAGTTGTTGCTTAGAGTACTAACCTTTCTGCAAGCAGCTACTCAGGGCATCGTCTTCCTTTTGCAGAAGTAGAACAAGAGGAATACATAAACTCCCATTCAAACGCTGGCGGTACCCTTGTTTATTTGCACGGCTAAGTACCCCGCTACAGAGAAACCATTCATTAGCCCTATATAGAACGAAGACAGGCCTGCAGCGATATACAAACAAGTTAGGCATCAAGTCCAAATTCAAAAAGATACAGCAGCAGAGAAAGGTGAAGAAAAAACCTCTTAGAGGGGAAACAACTACAGCTCGAGACAGCTCTGCTGCCTCTTGACGTTTCACACCTGACCCGCGCTGCGGCGGCTGTACACCGTACAAGTACAGCATTTCAAATGGTTATCACCTCAATAAAAGTAAATAATTAAATGAAATAAAAACAAAGAAATGAAAAANAGCATTTCAAATGGTTATCACCTCAATAAAAGTAAATAATTAAATGAAATAAAAACAAAGAAATGAAAAAGTATCACAAAGAAGTGTCGCAGGACTTGGACGCAGCCGACCCTGTGCTGCGCGAGCGACAGCGGGTTGCAGCATCGCCGGGCCGGTAGGTAGGGAGCCTTCTCCTGAAATAACGTCTGGAATTTATTTAAAATTATTTTTAAATGTAAATTACTTTTATTAACTCTAAATTTATTCAATAAAATGCAAAAAAATGAGCTGGATGCGAGTGACCGCCAGTCACCAGAGCGGGCACGCCGCAGCCCCACATCGCCGGCTGAGCAGTAGCCGCAGGACCAGCAGCAGCAACAGCAGCAACAGCAGCAGCAGCAGCAGCAAAATTTTCGGAACAGCAGCAAGATATCCATGGCATACGAGTGGCTCTTGGGTGTATGCATGTACACCTGGGGTTTATGTCGCTGTCTGTGCGCGGTGCATCCGCCCGGCCTCCACGTGCATATATCCCTCTCTGCTCTTCTGCAGCCTCAGCTGCTGTTGTTGAATTCCTTAATAATATTTTACATCACCGCAGAGCAGCAGCAGCAGCAACCACCAGCAGCAGCTCCTGCGGCTCCTCCTCTATGCATACACCGCGGGATCGTCTCCGCGCGTAGCCGTGGGATCCACTCACACTGCCCTGGGATCGGATCCCAGCACCGCGGAATTTTCTCCACTCACTCGCGGGGTCCTCGCCGCTGCCTTGTGGGGTCCTCGCCGCTGCTTTGTGGGGTCCTCGCCGCTGCCGCGTGGGATCGTCTCCCCCAGGCTGTGGGATCGAGTCCCCGCATACCTGGGATCGTGTGTGGCGCCGGAGAGGAGCGGGGTGGTTATACACCCCATTCTAACAGGCAGCAAACAGCAGCAGCTGAGCTGCTGAAGCAGCAGCAACTTATGCTGCTTACAGCAGC